GGGGGGGGGGGGGGGGGGTGCTTATCACCAGCAAGAAATTCTTTTTATGGATTTTGACGATTGGATCTCTCTATGAATGGAAAAGCGGTGCTACGTATCGAGAGTAACCACAAGTGATAGGGCAAAAATCAGGGGGAAGGACAAAAGAAAGAGCGATGCCTACATTAAATCAATTGATTCGTCATGGTAGAGAAGAAAAACGGTGCACAGATCCTACTCGAGCTTCGGATCAATGTCCTCAGAAGCAAGGATTACACCTACGTATTGTAACATCTGTTAATGTACTTCATAGTTGGGATGTACCTTCCTCAGGTGTAAAATGTAATGCTATACCTTGTTGTTTAAATCAAACCACTATGAGAAATAAATAGGGTCATCCATTGGATGTGGTTATCGGTAATAGCATCAACCTCATTGCCCAACACGGCTTAATAGATTCATTCAACAAGATCCGTTCGGATCAGACCAGGATGAATGGGATTGGTTTGACCTCTCGCTYGGAATTAACCCGCCGCCGACAGATGTTCCATGCCACGTTTCATGATCATCTATGTCCGAGATCTAGGGCAGGTATTCTTATATGCTAAAAATCAAGTCGATGGTGGAGTGGCCTACTCTGAGGAATTTGAAGGATCTGAGGGGTTTCCTCGGATTTAACCGGTTATTACCGAAAGTTTATCACTGGTTACGGGTGGTTGGCTGCTCTGTTGACGGATCAACTCGAAAAAGATTGTTTTGGATGGTCGAAGGCTGCCACAGTGGCTTTTGAACTATTAAAAGAGGCTATGACCAAAGCAACTATTCTGGCGATGCCCGACTTTAGTCAGCTTTCATTGTAGAAACGGATGCTTCTGGTTGTGGACTTGGGACTGTCCTACTTCAGGATTCCCACCCCGTTGTGTTCTACAGTCAAGTGTTAGGGCCTTGGAACCATGTTAAGCCGATATATGAGAAAGAGCTTATGGCGATTGTGTTTGTGTTCCAGAAGTAGCTTCATTACTTTTGGGCCTCCATTTCATCATTCGAACTGATAAACACAGCCTAAAACACTTGATGGAACAACGAGAAGTGGGGCTTGTTGAGCAAACTCTTGGGGTACAATTTCGAGATACATTACAAACCAGGGGCTGCCAATTGGGTGGCAGACGCATTGTCAAGGGAATTTGGATCATCGGTCGATCTAAGCACGTTGATATCATCCTCTTATTTCCTATGTCGGAGTTAGAACAAGAAATTGAAGCAGATCCTTCCATACAACGTGTGAAACGAGAATTGGAGGAGGAAGGAAAAACACATGAAGGATATGCTATGGTTCATGGGCAATTAAGATATAAGGTGTGCATGGTCATACCTCACACATCTTCGTTTATTCCCAAGTTGTTGCATGAATACCATGACTCGGTGGTGGGGTTGGGGGGGGGGGGAGCATTCACGGGACTTCAAAACCTATCAAATGATAGCTTCCGAATGGTTTTGGGTGGGAATGAGAAGGCAGGTTACACAATATGTGCAGTCTTGTTCTGTTTGTCAACAGAAGGCTGCTACCAACCACCCAGCAGGACGACTCCAATCGCTGCCATTACCCCTTCTTGTGTGGGATGAATTAACCATGGATTTCATCGAGGGACTGCCACATTCGCAGCGTATTGACACCATCCTCGTTGTTGTTGCCAGGTTAACTAAGTTTGCGCACTTCATCGGGTTAAAGCATCCGTTTACCGCCCTCTTGGTGGCTGCTGCATCTGTCTAGGAGGTGGTCAGGCTCCATGGATTTCCTTCGATTATTGTTTCAGACTGCGACAAGGTGTTCTTGAGCATTTTTTGGCGAGAACTATTTCATCCTCAAGGAACGACCTTGCTTCGTAGCACTGCATACCACCCACAAACAGATACCAGTCAGAAGTGGTCAACAAGATGGTAGAGGCTTACCTTCGGTGTTTCATTAATGGCAGTCTGCGTTCATGGGCTCAATGGTTACCGTGGGCTGAGTTCTGGTATAATACGTCTTTCTCACTCTTCTATTTAGTGTACCCCCATCAGGGCTTTGTATGGAAGGGATCCACCCCGCATCAGCCGTGTGCAGGTTGGCAACACCGGTGTTTCAACTCCAGAGGACCAGTTGATAGAGCGGGATGCGATTTTGGATGAACTTCGACACAGCTGATGCATGCTCAGCAACGGATGAAAACAAATGAGGACAAGTCTTGGAGGGATGTCAACTTTGAGGTGGTAGATTGGGCAGGGCCGGTCCTAAGATTTTTGATGCCCCGTGCGAAAATAATAAAAAATGCCTCTAAATCTACTTTTTTTTAAGCCAATAAAACAACAAAACGTGCGATTTTTTAAAGAGTTTAGAACCTGTTCAAGGTAAGTGTCTCATCCCCATATTGATTTTCATTAATTATAATAAAAAAAATACAATGGAGGGGGGGGGGGGACATAAAAACAAGAACCCCAAATACAAAATATAGAATGATAAAAGGATAAATCATGGATTAAGATCGTATTTCCTTCTTTTTCAGTTTTCCCTTTTCCAAATTGAAATTAGCAAAATAGAAACTTTATTCAATATATGGGACTTAAAAGAGAAGGAAAACTATAATTAGTTTTTAACTAAAATAGTAAATTACATCCAAATTATTGTCATAGTAAGCAAAAAGTAAAACTCAAAAGTTACAGGTCTAACACTAAAGGCAAAGGGTCTATCTATTAGCAGTTTAATAAGCTTAATGGAACTAACAACTTATTCGCTCAACTATGCATGACTGTTTCGTAGTGGCTTAATGATATAGAAAAAGACTTATCCAGTAAACTTTTAAAGGGAGCTTTATATAGAAAGCCAAGTTTTTTTTCCCAACATGTCCTTTCCAACAAAAAAAAGCTCCTTACATCTACCAAAAAACTCTCCCAAACAAAAACTTTTCCAACTTATACAAACAGATAAGTTCATACAGACAACTTTATCCATATAGAACTTAATAAAAAACCAATCAAACGGCCCCTAAATCTAATGCGGTAATGCCAAACCTCAAAGTAAACATAAGTCAAAAGAACAATAATAAATTGTAAAACTCATAATCTATGTTAGTGTGCATTGCAAAGAACAAATGCCCAATAATTAAGACAATATCACAATATGTTGTTAATGTTGTGCAGTGTGCTCCAGCTATGTTGATACAGTGATGTGCTTATGTGCATTGAAAATTTCAATTCTCAGATATTTCAATATGCAAGAGGAAGACTCATCATCAAAATGACAATTGCCCCTTAGCCTTAGCCTAGTAGGTCAGTAACCCACACAACCACGTGACCCAACTTTATAATAATCAGTTGAAATTTAGATTTTGTTTTTTGCAAAAAGATTTAAAGATTCATAAATCATAGTATGACTCACACAACAACTCGGTAAGTTCAATCAACAGTAGAAATCAGTCATTTGAGATTTCCATCTTTGATTTCTTGAATCTAATTTCATGACCGTTAATCGGCTGGAAAGAGAACTCCATGCCTTGAAAATMGAAATAGTCGAACTTTGAAGAACAATAGAAATTAAATTGAGTTGTTGGAATGATGATCTTAACCGGTTCACGATGTGCATTCAGTTTTCATCATCACTAAGCCTTGGGCCTGTTTTTATAGTTAAAGCTTAGTAATTCCCAAACTATTAAACCCAAAACTAGTAATAGATGACAACTTGATGCCCCTTTAGACTTTGATGCCCTGTGCGGCGCACGGGCTGCACGTGGCCAGGGCCAGCCCTGAGATTGGGTATACCTCAAACTCCAACCGTATCGACAAAAATCCCTAGCTAAGCGGCCTTTTCAAAAACTTGTTGCTCGATATTATGGGCCATTAGAAATTACCCACCCAGTTGAGTTGGTAGCCTACAAATTATAATTACCCACCATGACTCGCCTTCATCCTGTCTTTCATGTTTCGCAGCTTAAAAGGCTATCCATGACCTTCCTGCTATGCCTAGTCTGCCCTCGCAGATCAATGCGAATTTGGAACTGGAGGTTCATCCAACATCCTTGTTGGGTGTCCGAACTGTTACTACAGCTACTGGGCGAAGGACTGTAGTATTAACACAATGGAAGCATTTGCTAGCTTGTGACTCTACTTGGGAGGACATCTACTATACATGATGTTTTTCCTCATTTTCACCTTGAGGACAAGGTGGCAGTTTGGGAGACGGGTAATGCTACGCATTCTCCTATAATTTTACCTACACTAGGAGGAAGAAACAACAGAAACCAGAAAAGGGACCACAGAGGAAGGGAATATTTAGTCGTTCGGATTTGTGGGCCTGAGGGGTATTGTTGGTATTTTACTGCGTTGGTTGTTGGTCTTTCCGTTTAAATAAGGGGGAAGTATGGGGAAGAGGTAGAGAATTGTCATAGTGGTGATTGTAAGGAGAGAACTAGCCACTCGAAAGCTAGGCTTGTTCAATTTCTAATCTCAATCACCTTCCTGCCTTCTGTTTTCTTTTTTATTATTGTTTCTGTTGATTATTTAAAATCCGCTTCGTAGCATATTCTTAGAGATTGACCATCTCGAATTGGTCTTTATCACACATGACCCAGGGCCAAAGGTCTTCTGATTATTTTCTTTTAAGGTTTACTGTATTGCTATAACACTAATGGGCTACTTTCCAACTTCAAAATCAATATGGGTTTTGAAATTTTGGAGAAACTAGAATAACTACATAAAACTTCGTAACAAATGTTAGAAACAGAAAAAAAAATTGTTGGTGCCAACTTTGTAACAATGTTCTATCAATTTGGCATTTGAAAAGTACCAGCTTCGAGACAAAGTCAACTTTCTATGGAACAGATTAAGTACTAATGCTTAGTTAACAAATTGATCAGTTTGACCACATACAGCAGTCAATGTTGCAAATTAATTGATCTTTATGAATTTTTCATGATGTCCAAGAATGGGCAGAACTTTTTTTCTAGTTGATTGTCTGGTTCAAGATTTGGCATAGATGAGGCACGATATGATCTATGCTGGTGGCCAGCATTGTAGGTGTTGTTGCCGTGTTGGGCATTGAGACTTCAAAATTATATTTACAATTGCGTAAAGTCATGCTGGGATGTTGAAGTCTCTAATGCTTTTATGCTTCTAATGGAATAGCACGAGAATCTTAGAGATAACTTTGTCCAAGCTGGATGTCATATCAGGAGACCACATTACTGTGGTTTTATGAAAACAACATAGCTGATATTTTAGGTATCTTGGTTTACACAAAAGGTTAAATGTAAAAAACACTTCTCTGCGTAGGAGGCTACAAAAGAGACTGTCATTGGATTAGTGAATTTTAGCAATTAGGAACTTGGCGTTCTACTTCGGTTTCATGGTTATGTCCTTGTTATGGCGGTGGCTCCTTTCCTTTTCCTTTTCTGTTTTGGGGGTCAATCATACATGAAGCAGGTACTTTTGCATCCTTTATGAGAGATTGATCATCATTCTAATTTTCTTTTTCAAAATCAGTCATTCCTTACTGAAGAAGCTTTAAAGGCGGTGAAAGATTTGCTCCCAGAAACCGCTGAAGGTGATCTAGCTTCTGTCTGTTCCTGGCCTGATGAGATCAAGCATCGTTACAACTGGCGCTGGACCAGCGAGTTGCATTATGTTGACACCCCTGATTTCAGGTGTAACTATGATTACTGCAGTAAGTTAACCAGTCTCCTGTAATTTCATTTGAATTATCCCGTTTCTTTCTAATTCTTAACTTCCAGTTGTACCCTTCATTCAAGAAAACTAGATGCAACATGTTTTTTGATGTAAAATACACTAATTTGCAACAGTACAACTAATTCAATTTTTGAGCAGAAATTAGATGCCTACAACAACAAAATAAACTACAAAAAGAAAAATACTAATGGTAGGTTTGTAATTTTGCAACAATTTTGAACTTTAGAGGAATAGAGCTTAACCGCATCTCTTTGTAGTCTGAACAAAGGTTGTATTGATCTCCAGGTGCTGTTGTTTTACTTTTATATTTCAAAAATTGAACAAGTTGTGTTATTATGTTATTCTAAATTTCTTAATTTGGTCAATTATGTGATGTGGCTGAGGTATACATGATATGATTATGACTGGATCACTGGAAAATTTTATGTCTTAGGGGACTGCCATGACTCGTCTGGAGTCAAAGATAGGTGTGTTACTGGAGCTATTTACAACTACACGGAGCAACTTGTCATGGGCTATAATACCTCAAATTCAGTTAAGTGTAAGCACCTACTGTCAACCGCTTTTTACACTAATGGACAAATGGGAACTCATCGTCTTTCATTACAGACAACCTGACCGAAGCACTCATGTTCTTGTCTCATTATATTGGGGATGTGCATCAGGTTAGTGCGTCCTCCTTATGCTGCTATTAGTTTCAGAGGCTCACAGAAACTTAACTTATTTATTGGCATCGTGTCAGCTCATATTCATGGCAGCAAAGTTCAAAGGATGGCATGATCTTTTTTAACTATTTGCGTTTTGTTTAAATCTTTGCATTTACTATTGATGATATCTAAATCCTCCTTTTGCCCCAAAAAAAGTGCATCATTTTTCTTTCTTACCCAGAAATAGAATAAATGTAATATTTTCCTCTTTAATGGCAAAATTTCAATCCAAGAATACCACTTCGCCTATTAATAAAGGGTACACCTTATAGATAGCATTGGTTTCATACCACAAAATTTTCGTCTTTATTGAGGAGTATATTAGATATTTGACTAACAATCAAACATTCACATTGAACTCTTCCTCAATCAAGACCATCACATTATTCTGCACCTAAGGGAGTAGTAATTTATTTCAAAGTATAACGTTCTATTTCTTTTTTCTGTTACAGCCTCTACATGTTAGTTTTACTAGTGATGAAGGTGGAAACACAATAACAGTCCGTTGGTATAAGAGGAAGACCAATTTGCACCATGTATGTGAAAGTTGTCAAATTATTGCATATATCTGTTTCTTCTCGTTGTTTATATATTGACAACCAAAAAGCAGAGGACTTTATTCCACTGAACAAGGTAAAAGAGAAGGTTTATGTCATCAATTCAGATCAGACCAAGAATATGCTCATTTTTGGTTTGAAAGCTTAAACTATTATGGAGTTTCAGTTTGCTTGTTTCACGAAGTTCAGTTTCTCAAATTGTATTTCAGGTTTGGGATACCGATATAATAGAATCTGCCATGAAGACATTCTATGACAAAGATATTGACGTCATGATATTAGCAATTGAGAAGAATATTACAGTATGATTTCATCTTTGTTTCCTCTATGCACATTCATCTGTTATTATTACATATGCTAAACCGAGACAATGGAGGATTGAGAATGTTTTTTTATGTATTTCATTGATCGGAAATAATAATATATAGTACATACAAGGACTCAGTATCAATACCATAGTTACTTCTAAGAAAAACTATTGATCTATGGTATAAATGCAGAGAATATTTCACAAAAAATCAGTTGGATAATTTCTAATAATCAGATTATAAATTATAGTAAGAAAACCAACAAGTATGATATCCTACACTCCCCCTCAAACTAGTCGGAATATGTTTGTTAGACCAAGCATAGATCTTAGTGCAATGAGGTTAGACCAAAACAAAGCCTTGAGTAAAATATCTGCTGCTTGCTGTTGAGAGGGTACATAGTTAAGAAAAAATCTTGTTGCCTTCTATTTTCTTACTGATGAAGTGCTTATTGATCTCTACATGTTTCGTTTGGTCATGATGAATTGGACTTTTAGCGAGTGCATCACCTATTGGTTGCCAGTTGCCACACATCATCTTGATAGGATTTGAAGTTCCAATCTTGAGTTAGTCTATTAGTCGATCTAGCCAAATTCCTAAACATATGCTTTGAGCTAAAGCTCAAAATTCAGGGTCGGCACTGCCTGCATGTTATCACTTGCTGTTTCTTACTTATCCAAGTTACCAAATTTTCCCCAAACAAATGAATTAACACCCAGATGTAGATCTTCCTTTAATGAGGGATCTGGCCTGGTCTACATTTGTATAAATTTCAAAAGATCGATTGTAACCCTTTTCCATGATCCAAGATACCCAAGTATCGGACACGCTGCCTTTATATGATCCACCGATGGATTACTGAAGAACTGACTGACAGTACTGAATGCAAAGCTTATATCTGGGTACGTGTTCATCAAATTTATCAGCTTCCCTACCAAGCGTTGATTTTGTTCCTTATCTGCTGCAAACTCTTAAGTCTGAGGCATCAATTTGGTATTAGGATGCATAGGAGTTTCAATTGGTTTACAACCACTCATGTCGGTTTCATGTAGAAGATCCGAAACATACTTGCATTGTGGGACATAAATTCTTCTTTTGAACTGCCCACCTCCATTCCTAGGAAGTATCTTGGATGTCCTAGGTCTTTGACCATAAATTCGTTGGGGTAGAAGAATCTTAAGTCTTATTTCTTCTTTGTGATTCCTGGTTAGAACAATCTCATCAACGCAGACAATTAACACTATAATTCTCCCATTCGTGAAGTGTCTGATGAACAATGTGTGATTTGCTTGGGACTGTGAGTAGCCATCTTGTTTGAGCACCTTAGTGAACCTGTCGAACCAAGTCCTTGGAGATTGTTTAAACCCATAAAATTCCTTTTTCAACTTGCACACCTTTTCTTTTGTTTTCTTGGCCTGCTAGTATATCAATAGAGACATGTTTTTTTTGGAAGGCCATATCTATATATACATTTTCAACCAGGTCTCTGTTCAAGAAGACATTTTTCACATCGAGTTGAAATAGAGGCCAATCTTGATTGATAGCAATGAATAAACAGGAGATGAATGGTATTAAGTTTGGCTACCAGAGCCATAGTTGTAGAAAGAGGTCGAGGCGTGCCTCAAAGCAAGGAGGTGAGAAATCAATAATGAGGCAGTCTCTGCTGGGTTAGATGACCTCGCACTACTGAGGGGAGGGGGTCTCAGATTTTAGGGTTAAAATAACTCCGAGACTGATAAAACTCAAAATCTTCTTGTTATAAAAAGTCATTTTAGATATTTGACTAATATTAAAAAAAACTTTTAATAAATTATGTGTCCATTTGAACACATTAGGTTTGAAATGGATGGTGTATTTATTTTTATTAGAGGAAAATTTACGTAAAAGTACATGCTTTGTAAACTCAACAGTTTCCGTATATGTTTCTCTTTTGTTAAATTTGGTAAACAGGATACCTGGAGCAATGATATATCATCTTGGGCAAATTGTACATCTGGTCAGGAAGTTTGTCCGGATCCGTAAGTGTACATTCTTTCCTGTAACTTTTATTCTATCAGTTAAACTAACAATAAAAGATTGTTACTTAGTCACTAATATCTGGTTCTTTTTTGGTAAAGTTGTAAGGATGAACTATAATCTTTATTGACTTGAAGATAATATTAGACTATAAAACCATTTCAGTTGCAAAAATTCCACAGGCAGGCTTTTGCTGGTTACAATTGCAACATTTTAACTGCCTAAAGTTTTATTCAAGTACCTTAAACCAATATTGGTGCACACATACATACTAATTTATCCATTCATGGTCTGACAAGAATCGGCCTAGGTTAGATTCACGAACTGAGATTAATCGGTTAACAAAGTAACTTTAGTACTTCCATGGTTAATAATCTCTGTTCCAAAAGTAATCACTGGTTATCACATTACCATATTATTTGTATGTTAACCATATTATAGAAAATAACAACTATATTATTATCATAATTAATTAGTTCTACATATAAGATACTAGTAGAATTAGATGGTATGTCTGATTTTATTATAATCACGACATTGGACCTGTGAAAGTGACATCTACCTGTCGTAGAGAGGCTATGCATCCTGAAAGCATTCGTTTTAGCCTTCCGCTTTAGTCTACTAGGTAATCTAGTATCCTTATGCATGAAGATAATCAATTCGGTCGTTGTAGTTGGACTCTATTATGGATTTGGAATGTAGCTAATCGTCCTTGCTTTTAGAGAGAAAGCTCGCCATAGAAAAAAGTCTTTCTCTTCCCGTCCCGGGCCATAGGTGTGTCCACCGAAGAGGAAATCGCATCTGGAGAAAGTGCTTTCTTTATGGATGAAGACGTTGAGTAAGGGGGCGGAGCGAAAATAAGAATTTCATCTTTTATCTTGTTGATAGAGGCTTCTTTTCTTTCTATAGTAATTTGACCTCTTGCTCCACCCTCTCAAACCCAACCTGTGGTGGATCCCGGGTGACAAAGTAATGTATCAATAAGCGGGAGCAAGTATCGAGTGTTGTGAGGGCTTTTATTTGCACCAAATATTGAACTATGCATCTCGGTAGAGAACCTACACCTAGAAAGGAAGTAATTTGTATTTCTTTGCTATTTTATCAATAAAATCGTGTTGGTTTTCTATCGATCTACCACATGCTCAGGAGCAAATCTGGTGTACACCCTATTTAAAAGACTTTTGACGTAGAACTTTTACTTCCATCATCTTGTGAAATCGAAACAGGTTCCTTTGTAGGATTTTCCATGAAAGTTTCTACATTTACCTTTTTAGTAAGTCTATATGTTAAAGTAACCTATTTGTCCGTCGTCATCATTAAAAACGAATTCATGCTATTGATTTTCGTTAACAAGATTTCTTTTTTTTGTCTTCATTAAAGGGTAATTTAGCATTTTCTTTAATTTGTGTACCAAGTGAAATATTGCAAATTTCATAGCATCGGAGTACGAACTTATGGTGAATGGAAGTGATTGTTGATTTCGTGCAGGTGGGCTTCCGAAAGTATCAAGTGTTCGTGCAATTATGCCTACAGAAATGCTACACCAGGAAGTACTTTAGGAGGTAAATGTTAGATTAAATTCTCATTCTGACTTCAATCTTATTAGCTGCAGACGTCAAATATTATTTCAAAAAAATATACCAGTCGCTTATTTTAGATAAAACCAAATTCAAATAAATTGACAAGCTACCATACCATGTGCCAGGTTATATAGGACATACCTTATTGTTTAGAATCATATTATGTATTTGGCATGTCATGTTCATGACGAGCCAGCCTAATTCAAAATTCTTAAACCAATCCAAACAAATTGCTCCTAGTATATCCCGCTCGAGAGCAGGGTCTGGGGGGGAAGGGGAGGGTGGGGGTTGGGATGTATGCAAACCTGTTCTCTACCCCAAAAGATAGAGCGGCTGTTCTCGTGACCTAATTCAAAATTCTTATTTGCGAAACTCTCTTTTAAAGATATTACCAAAATGCACAATATTTTATAATCAGATGTGCATCATTACCAATAAGATTACTGGCAGGCTTAGGTACTTCCATTTTGTGAATCCTGTTTACATGATCCACACAAGAACTGAAACCATGAGTTTAGGTTCTATCTATTTGATGCAAGTAGAAATGAAGATGGGACCCACAAATTGGAGAATAAAGAACATAGGAAAATTGTGTATATGAAAAGGAAGCTCACCTTTTTCATGCTTTGACACTACAGCCAGATGATCACGAGAACAGTCTCTGTGTCCTTCAGGATAGAGGAATGGTTTGCGTATATCTTACCCTCCCCAAACCCTACTCACGTGGGGCTTATTGGGTTCGTTTGGTTTGTTTTACACTACAACCAGACAATGCAATCACAAGAAACATACAAATTGTTTCAATTGATTATACATCAAAATTCCAGATTTTACCTTCATGGATCATCTTACTTTTATACTGCCTAATTATTTTTCTTCATTGCATCATAGATGATTATTTCCTTTCTCGTCTGCCTATTGTGGAGATGAGGCTTGCCCAAGCCGGGGTCCGTCTGGCAGCAACACTTAACCGAATCTTCGATCCACTCTACTCAATCCCTCAGAAATTGGCATATATTGGGAACAACCAAGCCACATCTCACACGGTTTGAAGCTGAAAAGTCTCCCAGATAGACACATATTTTCATCAATGAATTACCTCTAAACATTCGATGGAAGTCAAGAAACGTACTTTATTAATTAGTTTCGTGTCCTGATAGTTGGTACGTGCATCTTCCTTGAAATGTGTGCAATCTTCTTGTTTATCAGTTATAGCCCTCTTAGGTGATGCTCAGAAACATGTAGAACTCTACTCCTTGAACTCATATTAGCTTGTATATATCGATGATTGTCCATACTCTATAGGATTTACTCAGTTCGTTTGGTTTGGTTATATTAATGACCGAACCTACTTTGTGTAGGATTTACTGTGTTCATCTGGTTTGGTTATATTGATGAATGACCCTCATCGTGGTCGGGCATTTTTTTTTTCTTGTTGTAGCCAAAAGTATTCAGAAAAACCGTCGTATTGGAGAATTGAGATTGTTTACATTGTGTATTCTTTCTTTCTTGGTTTTTCTTTGATTAGAAACCAGGTTGGCATCTGCATTGTGGGAGTTACAGTTATCAGGCTCTTTGTGGGCACCAAGCTCTTAAGCTAACCAGCAGATTGATGTGTACTTTATTCTCTCTCATATGATGCTCTTGGGACGAGGAGGTGTGGGCGGGCTCGAAAGTTGCCGGTTACAAACCGTTTTGCACAAATTGAGCCAGGTATGGTAAATAAGATGCATTGCATACTTGTACTTTACAATGAGATTATCCACTTAGAGTCGGTGTTCAAAAAGGCGCATCATGTCGTAAGACGTGTCTCTACCATTACAATAAGGTCTATAGCGTTTGTATAAGATGTGGCTCATGGCGTGCTACGATGTTTGTTTTTTACAAAGACTGAAGTTATTTCTATTTTTTTATTTTTTGTGTTTTTACATTTTTAACCTTAAATTTTACAGATTAACTAATTACATCACTTACACTTTCATGGGTTCACACATGTCAACTCAAAGTTAAAACGAAATAATCTACTACAATTAACAAAATCCAACAAATTAAATCACGTGTATTATTCCATGCCTAAAAATGCATTAACGTCAAATAATCATCTTAAGACAATTAACTCATCAAAACTCACTAACCTTATGATTTAATACAAAAAAAAACCCAAATATATGTATTTCTTAAGATTTTATTAAACCAAATAGGCAAAAGATGCAATTTCATCAAGTAACTAACAACGTTTGATAAATCTGAAGGGGAAACACTTTAAGGCTCTTACATAGTTTTCACAAAGCAACTTGAACTAACCTTGTTAGGTTAGGTCAAACCTAGGTTCCAAAACCGAATTTTTAGCTTCCTTTTGATGAAGATTGGAAATCTACTACCAACCTTCCGAGTTCCGACTCCTAGATCCAAAACTTCCACAAGGTTTACTCTAACACAAATACTCCCGAACTCGCTCTAAAATACCACAAGAATAAGAAAAAAGTTCAGGGGGAAAGAGAGAAAGCAAAGCTCTGACTTTTAATGAAGATGGATATGAAGTTACCTTCAACAATAACAGTTGAAATCATTGAGAAATCTCCTCCAAAGCCTCAAAAAATGGCCTAGGGTTCCCAAAGTATCCAAGGTTGAGAGAAAAGAGTGAGAAGAAAGAGCGGTGTAGATAAAATGGGAGAAATTGACCAAAATCGTGACGTTAAAACTCCACACAGGTTATGTGACCTTGGCTCGCGAACCTAGGATCATGGTACAAGGGTCGCCCACGTCCATGATTGCTATTATGGTAGAAGATATGCGACCTTGGCTCGCGATGCAAGGGTCGGGTCACAAGGGTCGCACTACACCCAGAAACTTGAAATGTTTGTTCACTTGCTCATTTCAAGGTTTAACTTGATAGGCTTCTTACTAGCACATAAACGTATCATTAGGACTTAATACGCAACATTATCTTGCTTAAAACATGATTAAGACCCAAATGGCCGGATTAAAAAATCTTGGTGTTACATAAACGCAATAATTTGAATGCTTTTTGTTTACTTTAATTGATCGATTAATCTTTTTAAAAAACAAAAAAAAATGTCATTATTTTAGAAAAAGAATTTGTAAAATAAAAGAAAACTCGGTTACATAGTTAAAATAAAATAAGGAACATATTGAGGAGGGTGTTTAACGGCCTTCTGTTGACGTTGATAGCCCACATGGATGATAAACGTAATTTTGAAACCATAAGAATGAAAATAGAAAATTTTAACATACCATAAGGACTAAAATCGTAATTTACTCTTGATTTTATGTTTGTTTTGTGTTTTGTATAAATTCTTGTAAATATGCTATAATGATTCATAGAATAAGATTTATGTTATAAAAGAGTAAATTATATTTCTGGTCCCTTGGTTTACTCGATATCGTTATTACAATTCATCAAATGTATTTATTATACTCTTGGTACGTGTGGTATGTAAAAATGCAACTTTAAAGTCCCTTTCTTTAACTGATCCTGTTAACTCAGTTAACTCAAGGGGTATTCTTGTCTTTCTACCCTTGTTTATGTCTTTTTTTTTCTAATAAGAAATAAAATATAATGAAATTGCTTTTTTATCATTAGTATACTATTATTATAATATTAGAATATAAGACAAAATTAACGGGAACATAGAACTCACCCTAACCCATGATTTCTAGGCCATTTCCTATTGTTTGAAACCCTAAATTACATCAATCAATTTACTGAACTAACTACATAAATAATGTGATCGATATCAATATGTTCTTTCTTAAGATGGGACTCGATTATTGGAGAAGAATCTTGAAATTGTAACAAGATATAGTAAGATGAGATCATCGGAGGTTATATGAGATAATTTGCTTGGAGAAGTTTATGATGAATCACGAAGACTAGAGGGTGAGAATTAGGTATTTACTTTGTGTCCTTATTTTCTTTTACTTCTGGTGCTTAAGTTATATTGGTTTCATCCTGTGAACTTGGAATTCGTTAAAACATGGACTCATTATTGTTAACATATTTTTGTAATTTCTTCATTATCTCGAGAGAATTTCTTCAAGTGGCAATGTATCATTTGATAGGAAAGTGCTTGTGGCCGATCACAATCTTAAATCCATTCTCTACCCGAAAACTGAATCTTGGAGTAAATTTGTGGTGTCTCTGTGCCTATTTGAGGAGAAATGCACATGCTCATCAATATGTATTTTTTATATTTTGGTTATTTTCTGTGCAAAATAATTTTTCATTCACCTTAGCTCTTGCTTGGATGATCAACAAATTAAGCTCACGGACTGACAAATCCGAATGTAGTTAGTGATCTTTCATAAATCGTAATCAGTATGTTCACTTACAATTATTCAAATTTAATATCTCATTGCATTGTGCGGGCACATATCCTTCTCACACGATCCTTTATATATGGTTGGGTTCCGATATGAGGTAGAGTTAAGTTAATAAGCCTAAGAAGGGATCTCCACTATTGAATGCACATTAAGATGAGATGCATCGAAATCCACCAGATCAATCCCAATATCAAGCACGATTCATAGTTGGGCTTGAGATTAAAGGTGATCAACGGTCAAGATCCCTTCTTATGTTTCTCACCTTAACTCCTATTCTCATACGATTCTTTATCTATATACGTATAGGGTGGGGTTCATGTGAGACAAGGTTGTTTTTGTGAGACGTGATTTTTACACTTGAAACTTTAAAACAAAATGTTGTGAAGGTAAAAAAAACTGAATCTTCACAGTAAAAACACTGTGAAAGTTATCTTCACACTGTTTTGCTATGAAGTTTCAAGTGTAAAAATCGTGTCTCACGTGTCTCATGAAAAAAAACTTTGTCTCACATGATCCCAAGTCTCTCTCTCTATAGGCGAATAATCGTGTGAGAAGGGAAGTTATAATAAGAACCGTAATAAGAGATTTGAACCCTTGATCATTTAAATATCATGCCCAACCATGAATTGCGCTTTAGATGAGAATTGATCCGGTGCACCTCATTAGTATTGATATTTAATTAGGATTAATCAAAAGGTGGAGATAGGGCTTCTCATCATAACTTCTCTTCTTACCGAAATCCTACCATCTATATATATCTATACTACCTTATTAAACAGATTCTTTCAAAGTCTTAAAGTCTTAAAATTATAAATACTCAAAATACCCTTACCTTTACTTTACTCTTCAAACATCTTTACCCCAAAGGCCCAAACGGTCGCTTCCCATTTACCCCAAAACGTTTCCCTTTACCCGGCTCTCTCCCCCAAGACGACGTTTTAGAAAATCGTCCCTCCCAAGACGACGATTCAGGGATTTCTCCCACTCCCGAGATGACGATTCCCTTTAAAAAGAGTTTCCATCGCTATCCATCGTTCACCGCTTTCCATCGTTCAACCGTCCATCGCATCGTCGCTCTCCATCACCGCATCATTCAACCCAAATCACTGTTGAAAGCATTTCAGGTAACAATGCGATTTCATTTCTCTGTTTGGGTTTTGCCGATTTGGGTTTGTTTATTTTAGGGTTTAGGGTTTTGCTGATTTGGTTTGTTTATTTGGGTTTGCTTGAATAACTAATTTATTCAGTGAACAAAATGATTTGGGTTTGTTTAATTTAAGATTGTTTGCACTGTTTTACCCTCGCTCTCAATGATTTGGGTTTGTTTATTTTAGGATTGTTTGGGTACTTTAAATCCATATCACTTCAATGAGAGATTGCACTTTCTGCTAGAGAGCTCCGAAAGGTGTGCTTTCTTGTTTATATCATTCCCCCAAAATCTGAAATTTGATTATCTAAAAGTTTTGAATTCAATGTTTTTAAGCTTTTATGCCTGCATGGTTTCTGAGTGAGTGTATTATCTTCACTGGGTGTGAAAAAGGCTAGATGCTTGCTGACCTTCTGTTTTTATTTCTCTTGTTGCCTTTTGATCTATGATCTCCGAAGAATAATAGTTATATAAAAGATGTCACTTTCTTTCTGGTTGGTGCAAACCAAGTTTTTTGGATTTTATATTGATTTTACATTCTTCATTTTAATGTTTTTGATAATTGACAAATTGATCTCTTATGTACTAATGAGTATATGTTTATGCATTTATGATTTATACAATCTGATTGAGTGTGAAGAGACCTAGGTAAGCATGGAAATTTAAGAACACTTATGTGTTCAATGGTTCAAGTAAGTTAAGTGATATCGATTTATTGTACGGTTTGTTGATTATTGAAAGAATTAAGATTACTTTTAAAATTAGTAATTTTATATGATTAGTAATTTTTATTTATACTACCT